TGTGTGTGTGTGTGTGTGTGTGTGTGTGTGTAAGACCAGACTGCGGAGGGCAGTGCCGCAAGCGACCAGTGGAATAGATTGTGGAAATAGAATGATAAAACAGTTTGTGGAAGAGGTGGAATGATGGGACGGGTTGTGGAAGAGGAGAACAGAAGAAGATATGGGAAGGGACAGTGGAGCAAAATGTGGAACAGATGATGAGGGCAGATTGTGGAAGGGGAAGGTTAGTGGGGAAAACATGTGGAAAAGGAATTATTGAAGGGTTTGGTAGAACTTGTGGAACAGTTTAAAGAAATAGTCAGTGGAACAAGATGTGGAAGAGGCTTGTGGAAGGGGAAGGATAATAGGTGGTTGTATTGTGTCTCTCCATAACCTGTAATGTAGAAACAGTGAGAAATTACAGTGTAGTGAGGGAGTATAGTGAGGGAGTATAGTGAGGGAGTATAGTGAAGGAGTGTAGTGAGGGAGTGTAGTGAGGGAGTGTAGTGAGGGAGTGTAGTGAGGGAGTATAGTGAGGGAGTATAGTGAGGGAGTATAGTGAGGGAGTAGGTGTAGTGAGGGGTGTAGTGAGGGTGTGGTGAGGGTGTAGTGAGGTGTGGTGAGGAGGTGTGGTGAGGGGTATAGTGAGGGTATAGTGAGGGTATAGTGAGGAGTATAGTGAGGGTGGTGAGGGTGTGGTGAGGGAGTGTGGTGAGGGGAGGTATAGTGAGGGAGTGTAGTGATGGGTGAGTGAGGGAGTGTAGTGAGGGAGTATAGTGAGGGAGTATAGTGAGGGAGTGTAGTGAGGGAGTGTAGTGAGGGAATGAAGTGAGGGAGTGTAGTGAGGGAGTATAGTGAGGGAGTGTAGTGAGGGAGTATAGTAAGGGAGTGTAGTGAGGGAGTGTAGTGAGGGAGTGTAGTGAGGGAGTATAGTGAGGGAGTGTAGTGGAGGTAGGTGGAGGGATCATAAGCATTGTTGCAAAATAGATTCAGAGGTGTGTGTGTGTGTGTGTGTGTGTGTGTGTGTGTGTGTGTGTGTGTTTTGCACTGAACACCTGAAGGGCGTTTCCCAGGTGTCGCACCCCGCTCCAGCCCTGAGCTCGCCACACCTACCTGATATTAACCTAACCTAACCTAACTACCCTTAACCTAACCTAACGTATCGTAACTTAACCCAATTTAACCTAACCTAACCCAATCTAACTTAACCTAACCTAACTTAATCTAACGTAATTATAAATATCCTAACCTAACATAACCTGACCTAGACAGACTTTAATCAAAACTAATGGTATTTAACGCGATATAACTTAACCTAACCTGACCCACCTTTAATAACCTATCCTAACTTAGCCGTAACTTACCTGTGACTTAACCTAACCTAAGCCGCGGTATTAGTATGATTATTCGGGCTGAGGTGAGGCTTAAGTCTGACCCAGAAACGTTTGTCGAACATCTACTGGAGTGGGTGGAGGGAGTGGGTGGAGGGAGGTGGTGGAGGGAGTGGGTGGAGGGAGTGGTGGAGGGAGTGGTGGAGGGAGTGGGTGGAGGGAGGTGGTGTAGGGTGTGGAGTGGAGGGTGGGTGGAGGATGTGGGTGGAGGTGGTGTAAGGGGTGGAGGGTGTAGGGTGTGGGTGGAGGGGGTGGTGGAGGTGGTGGAGGTGGGTGGAGGGTACAGGTTGGAGGGAGGTGGTGGAGGAGTGGTGGAGGGAGTGGGTGGAGGTGGGTGGAGGTGGTGTGGGGTGTGGGTGGAGGGTGGGTGGAGGTGTGGTGTGGGGTGTGGTGGGTGCGGTGTGGGGTGTGGTGGAGGGGTGGTGTGGGTGTGGAGGGGGTGGTGGAGGGGGTGTGGTGGAGGGTTGGAGGTGGGTGGAGGGAGTAGGTGGAGGATGGGTAAGGTAGGGTGATTGGGATGGTGGGTAAGGGAGGGTGTGGGTGGTGTCCGGGTTAGGTTAGGTTAGGGTAGGTTAAGTTTGAATCCATGGCTATTTGTCCGGTTTATCGTATCGCCAACAGCTAACTGGTATCTCGCTGAGCTAAAGAGACAGCTAAAAGAGACCCAGGAGGATTGTTGAGGTTTGTGGAGTAGGAAGAGGAAGGAGGTGGAGGAGGAGGAGGAAGAGGAGGAGGAGGAGGAGGAGGAGGAGGGAAAGAAGAAGAAAGAACGAAAGAAAGAAGGAAAGAAGGAAGGAAGGAAGAGACATTACATCCCACGGTAGCAAAGTGTGTGTGTGCGTGTGTGTGTGTGTGTGTGTGTGTGTGTGTGTGTGTGTGTGTGTGTGTGTGTGTGTGTGTGTGTGTGTGTGTGGCAGGGTACACGGGTCTTGTTCCAGTTTATTTCCCCATCACCTTTAAAAAGAGTTGAGTATTAGTTATTCAGAGAGCCGCATTCCTCACCACTTTGCCGCAAATCCTGAAAGATGGACTAACCTGCGGCAAGCTGACGCAGGGGTGTGGTGAGTATGAGATCAGTGTTGTGTTATGGTGTTGAGATCAGTGTTGTGTTATGGTGTTGAGATCAGTGTTGTGTTATGGTGTTGAGATCAGTGTTGTGTTATGGTGTTGAGATCAGTGTTGTGTTATGGTGTTGAGATCAGTGTTGTGTTATGGTGTTGAGATCAGTGTTGTGTTACGTATTAACATGTTAGTCTTAATTAACTTCTAACACCTGTAATGGGACAGGTGGTGGTGGTGATAGTGAGGGTAAATGGTGGTGGTCGTGGTAGAGGTGGGTTAGGATGGTGGTAGTGGTGGGTTAGGATGGTGGTAGTGGTGGGTAAGAATAATGGTGGTTGTTGTTGGTGGGTTAGATTAGCTTAGGTCAAAGCAGGTCAAACTAGGTCAAATCAGGTCAAATTAGGTTAGATCATAATAGGTTTGGTTAGGTTACGTTAGAGCAGGTCAAACTAGGTCAAATCAGGTCAAATTAGGTTAGATCATAATAGGTTTGGTTAGGTTACGTTAGAGCAGGTCAAACTAGGTCAAATCAGGTCAAATTATATTAGATCATATTAGGTTAGGTTAGGTTAGAGCAGGTCAAATTAGGTCAGATTAGGTCAAATTAGGTTAGATCATAATAGGTTTGGTTAGGTTACGTTAGAGCAGGTCAAACTAGGTCAAATCAGGTCAAATTATATTAGATCATATTAGGTTAGGTTAGGTTAGAGCAGGTCAAATTAGGTCAGATTAGGTCAAATTAGGTTAGATCATAATAGGTTTGGTTAGGTTACGTTAGAGCAGGTCAAACTAGGTCAAATCAGGTCAAATTATATTAGATCACATTAGGTTAGGTTAGGTTAGAGCAGGTCAAATTAGGTCAGATTAGGTCAAATTAGGTTAGATCATAATAGGTTTGGTTAGGTTACGTTAGAGCAGGTCAAGCTAGGTCAAATCAGGTCAAATTATATTAGATCATATTAGGTTAGGTTAGGTTAGAGTTGGGGCCAATTAGCAAGCGGGGATCAGGTACTGCAGGTGCGTTAGTGAGGTGTGGTGGTGGCGTGTTAGGTAAGCCCCAGAGGTCGTGTGTGCGTGACTCTGGCAACACCACCACTTGGTATACACGATGAATAATAATATACACTGTTGTGATTCACTGTGTATACTGTGTGTGTATATTGGGGAAATGAATATGTGTGGGTATTTCTACATGTTTACTGTCACTTTCTCCACTTATCTTACACTTTTTCACTGTGTATACTGTGTGTGTGTGTGTGTGTGTGTGTGTGTGTAAATAATAATAATAATAATTAACGGTTTATTGAAAGAGCTTGGCAGCCAGAAGGCTGAAAATATACAGTTACATATTTGGGGAATGGGTTTCGAATTATAAATAATATACAAGTAACATAAGTGATACAAATAAGATATATAATAACTAGATGGGGAAAAGCTCAAACTACAGTTCATTTCAACATAGTGACAGTGTAAGGAGTAGTGTTTACTGGGAGTGAATACACTGGTTTATTACAGTTATTGATAATTTTACAATGGTTGGGACTGGGCTGTTCTTATAGCGATCAGTTCGTGCACGTATGGGCTGGATGCGGTTGTGGTGTCGAACAGCAATTCTCCGGGCTAGGGATCTCAGGTGGTAGTAGGAGCCGGTGTCGAGGATGGTGTAGAAGCTTCTTACCAAATTTGCAGATGAGGTCGTGGTGATGGTCAGTGAGTCGAAAGGGTCAGTGTGTTGAGCGCTTCTTGATATGTGGAGTAGGAAGGGAGAATAATCTTGCGTGCCCTCTTTTGCACTTTTTCTAGGTGTTTACGTTGTGTGGCATTTAGGGAGGAAGACCAGGTGGGGAGGCATAGGTGAGCTTGGGAAGTATGAATGTTGAGTAAACACTGAGGAGCTCGTGTGCAGGAACTCCGAGGGACTTGAGTCGGCGGAGGAGGTGGAGACGGAAACTGGAGGATTTGACAACTTCACTGAAGTGTGGTTTCCAATTTAGTTTGTTGTCTATGGTGACGCCGAGGAGCTTAGTGGAATCTACAACCTGGAATGTGTTGGGACCTAAAGTAATGGAAGGGGGTGGGACAACGTCGGAGGAGAGGTTGATGTGCATAACCATGGTCTTGGTATGGTTGATGGTAACGTGGTTGTTGGTGGCCCAGTTTTGAAGACTGTTCAATAAATCCTGAAGGGCGGTATAGTTGGGAGCAAATTGTTGACGCTGATCCCAATGGTGGAGTCGTCGACATATTTCCAGCAGGCAGGGGGGTGTCTGTGTGTGTGTGTGTGTGTGTGTGTGTGTGTGTGTGTGTGTCTGTGTGTGTGTGTGTGTGTGTGTGTGTGTGTGTGTGTGTGTGTGTGTGTGTGTGTGTGTGTGTGTGTGTGTGCGTGTGTGTGTGTGGATAGTTGTACTTGTTTTATTATCACTTTACTGTCACTCTCTACACTTACAACACAATTATTTCAACTCATCTTCATTGTATTTATCTCTGGGCTATTAACCTCTGGACTATTAACCTCTGGGCTATTAACCTCTGGGCTATTTATCTCTGGACTATTAACCTCTGGGCTATTTATCTCTGGACTAATAACCTCTGACTTTCTATATTTATCTCTGGGCTATTAACCTCTGGACTATTAACCTCTGGGCTATTAACCTCTGGGCTATTTATCTCTGGACTATTAACCTCTGGGCTATTTATCTCTGGACTATTAACCTCTGGACTATTAACCTCTGGACTATTTATCACTGGACTATTAACCTCTGGACTATTAACCTCTGGACTATTAACCTCTGGACTATGTACCTCTGGACTATTAACCTCTGGACTATTTATCACTGGACTATTAACCTCTGGACTATTAACCTCTGGACTATTAACCTCTGGACTATGTACCTCTGGACTATTAACCTCTGGACTATTAACCTCTGGACTATGCACCTCTGGACTATTGACCTCTGGGCTATTTGTCTCTGGACTATTAACCTCTGGACTATTAACCTCTGGGCTATTTACCTCTGGACTATTAACCTCTGGACTATTGACCTCTGGACTATTTACCTCTGGACTATTAACCTCTGGACTATTTATCTCTGGACTATTAACCTCTGGACTATTTATCTCTGGACTATTAACCTCTGGACTATTTATCTCTGGACTATTAACCTCTGGGCCATTAACCTCTGGACTATTTATCTCTGGACTATTAACCTCTGGACTATTTATCTCTGGACTATTAACCTCTGGACTTAACCTCTGGACTATTTATCTCTGGACTGGGCCATTAACCTCTGGACTATTTATCTCTGGACTATTTATCTCTGGACTATTAACCTCTGGACTATTAACCTCTGGACTATTAACCTCTGGACTATTATCTCTGGACTTAACCTCTGGGCCATTAACCTCTGGACTATTTATCTCTGGACTATTAACCTCTGGACTATTTATCTCTGGACTATTAACCTCTGGACTATTAACCTCTGGACTATTTATCTCTGGACTATTTATCTCTGGACTATTAACCTCTGGACTATTAACCTCTGGACTATTTATCTCTGGACTATTAACCTCTGGGCCATTAACCTCTGGACTATTTATCTCTGGACTATTTATCTCTGGACTATTTATCTCTGGGCTATTAACCTCTGGACTATTTATCTCTGGACTATTAACCTCTGGACTATTTATCTCTGGACTATTTATCTCTGGGCTATTAACCTCTGGACTATTTATCTCTGGACTATTAACCTCTGGACTATTTATCTCTGGACTATTTATCTCTGGACTATTAACCTCTGGACTATATATCTCTGGACTATTTACCTCTGGGCCATTAACCTCTGGACTATTTATCTCTGGACTATTAACCTCTGGACTATTTATCTCTGGACTATTTATCTCTGGGCCATTAACCTCTGGACTATTTATCTCTGGACTATTTACCTCTGGACTATTTATCTCTGGACTATTTATCTCTGGACTATTTATCTCTGGACTATTTATCTCTGGGCCATTAACCTCTGGACTATTTACCTCTGGACTATTTACCTCTGGACTATTAACCTCTGGGCCATTAACCTCTGGACTATTTACCTCTGGGCTATTAACCTCTGGACTATTTACCTCTGGACTATTAACCTCTGGACTATTTACCTCTGGGCCATTAACCACTGGACTATTTATCTCTGGACTATTAACCTCTGGACTATTTATCTCTGGACTATTTACCTCTGGACTATTAACCTCTGGACTATTTACCTCTGGGCCATTAACCTCTGGACTATTAACCTCTGGACTATTAACCTCTGGACTATTTATCTCTGGACTATTTATCTCTGGACTATTTATCTCTGGGCCATTAACCTCTGGACTATTTACCTCTGGACTATTTACCTCTGGACTATTAACCTCTGGGCCATTAACCTCTGGACTTTTTACCTCTGGGCTATTAACCTCTGGACTATTTACCTCTGGACTATTAACCTCTGGACTATTTACCTCTGGGCCATTAACCTCTGGACTATTTATCTCTGGACTGTTAACCTCTGGACTATTTATCTCTGGACTATTTATCTCTGGGCCATTAACCTCTGGACTATTTATCTCTGGACTATTAACCTCTGGACTATTTACCTCTGGACTATTTATCTCTGGACTATTTATCTCTGGACTATTAACCTCTGGACTATTTATCTCTGGACTATTAACCTCTGGACTATTTACCTCTGGACTATTTACCTCTGGACTATTTATCTCTGGACTATTTATCTCTGGACTATTTATCTCTGGACTATTAACCTCTGGACTATTTATCTCTGGACTATTTATCTCTGGGCTATTAACCTCTGGACTATTTATCTCTGGACTATTTATCTCTGGACTATTAACCTCTGGACTATTTATCTCTGGACTATTTACCTCTGGGCCATTAACCTCTGGACTATTTATCTCTGGACTATTAACCTCTGGACTATTAACCTCTGGACTATTTACCTCTGGACTATTTATCTCTGGGCCATTAACCTCTGGACTATTTACCTCTGGACTATTTACCTCTGGACTATTAACCTCTGGGCCATTAACCTCTGGACTATTTACCTCTGGGCTATTAACCTCTGGACTATTAACCTCTGCACTATTACCCTCTGGACTATTAACCTCTGCACTATTAACCTCTGGACTATTGACCTCTGTGTTATTTATCTCTGGACTATTAACCTCTGGACTATTAACCACTGTGCTATTTACCTCTGGACTATTAACCTCTGGGATATTTATCTCTGGACTATTAACCTCTGGACTATTTATCTCTGGACTATTAACCTCTGGGATATTTATCTCTGGACTATTAACCTCTGGACTATTTATCTCTGGACTATTAACCTCTGGACCAATAACCACTGTGCTATTTATCTCTGGACTATTAACCTCTGGACTATTTATCTCTGGACTATTAACCTCTGGACTATTTATCTCTGGACTATTAACCTCTGGACTATTAACCACTGTGCTATTTATCTCTGGGCTATTTACCTCTGGACTATTTATCTCTGGACTATTAACCTCTGAGCCATTAACCTCTGGACTATTTACCTCTGGACTATTTACCTCTGGGCCATTAACCTCTGGATTATTTATCTCTGGACTATTAACCTCTGGGCTATTTACATCTGGGCTATTAACCTCTGGGCTATTTACCTCTGGGCTATTTACCTCTGGACTATTTATCTCTGGACTATTAACCTCTGAGCCATTAACCTCTGGACTATTTACCTCTGGGCTATTTACCTCTGGACTATTTATCTCTGGACTATTAACCTCTGGGCCATTAACCTCTGGGCTATTAACCTCTGGGCCATTAACCTCTGGGCTATTAACCTCTGGGCTATATTTAAACCACAATAATGTTAAAAAATATATAATTCTTTTTTATATTTTTGGGGCTGAATTATTGAGGCGGTGTACTTCCCTTTCTCCAGGTAAAGAAGAGTGTATAATTAACCTGTATACCTGATAATTAATCCAACAGAGACAATTATATCACGTTTGTTCGTCCCGTTAAGAGTTATACCACCTGATTATACTCGCATATTGTTATATTCCTTTGTTATTTCTACTTTTTGAAGCTGATTTTTGTTATTTTTTGTTATTCCCTCATTTATTAATTCTTTCTTCCATGTCTCTTATTCTCAGCTGTTCATATGTTTTTTATGTCGTCAATCGTCACCCATTTTACCCATCACCTATTTCCATCCATTCTTCCTATCAGGCATTCAGTTTTCACCCATACCCCCATTCTCCATTTCCACCCATTCTTCACCTTCTCACTGTCATATCAGAACCACCCACCCACCTATTTACTCCCCATTCTCTACCCTATCTATCTCTGCCTATCCCCTGACCCATGCACTCACCACCTATCCATGACTGTCTGTTTTCCCTACCCATTCATCAACCTCCCCATTATGGAAGTAACAGTATCTCCCCCTTACCTACCCTTACATTCCCTCCCCTCATCTACCCATACTTCCCCCTTCATTTACCCTTACCCTATCCCCTAACCTACCCTTACATTCCCCTTCCCCCCATCCCTACTATGCCTCCTCACCCATCCCCTACCCCTCACCCCATCCCCCATAGCCCCCCCATAAACGGTTCCCCCCAGAATCCCCCTCCTGCTGGGGTGGATAAATTATTATAAAAAATACAGGTGTGGAAATCTTGGGTATCTCTCTAGCTCCTCCTGACCCCTGCGTATGGAAGTAGGACTTATCGACCCTAGCGAGCCTGTCTCTCTCTCTCTCTCTCTCTCTCTCTCTCTCTCTCTCTCTCTCTCTCTCTCTCTCTGCAGTGTCTTGGTAGTCTCTCTATCTACAGCCTTGGGGCCTAGTTCTCTCTCTCTCTCTCTCTCTCTCTTTCTCTCTCTCTCTCTCTCTCTCTCTCTCTCTCTCTCTCTCTCTCTCTCTCTCTCTCTCTCTCTCTCGTAGCTCCTTCATTTACCTATGTCTCTTAGTCGCTCCCTCTCCTCTCCCTTCCCTCTCATCCCCTTCTTTCTCCCCCTCTCTCCTCCCTCTCATCCCTCTCCACCGGCTGCTTAACACGGGAAGATAACGCTCAGGTAAAGACTCACGCCAGTAAAGGCTTAGGTCTTTATTGTCGGGAAAGACCGAGTGGGATTGGGTGGAGTGGGATTAATAAGAGGGAATGAATGAATTGGGATGTAGGGTTGTAGAGAGGGATTGAGGTCGTCGGGATGTGGGATTGTGGAGAGGGAAGAGTGAGTGGTGAGTGGGATTGTGGAGAGGGAAGAAAGAGAAGAGTAAGTGGGATTCTGGAGAGGGAAGTGCGAGTGGGAAGTGGGATTGTGTCAAGGAATTAGTGGGATAAGTTTGGAGTTTTTTCTTTTCTTATGACTTTCTTTAAGGTGGAACTCTCTCTCTCTCTCTCTCTCTCTCTCTCTCTCTCTCTCTCTCTCTCTCTCTCTATCTCTTATCTCTGTGGTCGGGGAGACGCATCACATGACTGGGAAACCTTCTAAGTATTGTAATTGATATCCTGTCTGTCTCTGT